CTTTAGTGGCACAATGAGCCATTCACAGCTAACGATTAAAGTAGTAATGATAATCAGTCTTTTAGAGAATGTCTATCTAAATATTGAGTTTATTCTATGAAATGCAGGAGCAGCTGGATTGTATGAAGATATTAATCTATTAAATAATTATTGCATGTGTCTCCATTAACATAATATTTTCTATTTGTTATTTATGCAGAGGTGGAGATGCCATTTCATTATTTCTGCCAGTAAAAACATAAAAGCCTGTGCTGCAAAAACAAATCCTGACATGTCACTTAAAAATTTATAGTTATTAATCCACATTTTTTGCAAGTCTAGTATTATACCTCATCCCCTTCAGCAATTTATATTCATGCTTGTACAAGCAAAGACTGGATAGTAAGAAAAAACAAAGCCTGTGGAATTTTAATTTAAAAGTCCTGCAATACATATAAACAGAGAATTAAGATAAATGAAATGCTCAAATATGGTTATGCATTAGCAACTCTCTTAATTCCCTGAATTTTTCTACCAGCAGAAGATGGTTGCTACAGGGCTTCTCTGAACATGGGAGTGACAAGTATTCACAGATCCATAGACCTTCCTGAAGGTGGCTCCATTTGATAAAGGTTAAATTAGACAATCCAAGATAAATTCAATTGCAAATTCTTAGCATGATTTGGAGGAAAATAAAGAATAGGAATTAATAATGTGATGAAGGAATTTCTGTAAAATATTTCTAGGAGGTAAAGTAGGTATGCTTGAAAATAGTTGAGAGAGCAGCAATTCTACAAAAATGGCATAACAGTCTCAATTCTGAACTAAAGGCTGTCTTAAATAGTATTTTTTCTTTCTTTTCAGTTCTGAAAAGTACAGACTCATTAGGCTGTAATTTCTTTTACACAACTGTTTTCAGGTTCAGTGAAATAAAGAGCAAGGGAGCAAAAAGACCTTAAAAAGAACATTTGTTTATTTTATAACAGTGTTCATTTTTCCCTCAAATTACTGCAGCTCATGCAATAGATGAAAAAATAAAATGTAGCAAGCTTCATTTCAAAAGAAATTCTAAAATATAAAATGGAAGAGGAAATTAAATTTCTGTGTACTTTAGAAGTGAAGAACTACAGATTCAAAAACTTTGAAAAACAAGGAATAAAATTATATTTGGCCTGCTGATTTAAAAAAGAAAAAAAAAACAAAGCAATGAAATATTTCTAGATGATTTAAATTGCAGTTTAACAGCTTTGCTAGCAGATAGAAACTGCCATCTTTATTAGCTTATACCTTTGGAACTCTGAAGTTTTCCTTGTTGTTCTAGTGGCTCAGTGGAAATGAATGAATAATGTAAAGTTGGTATTTTTCCACTGTAGAAGAGATAAATATTTAAAACGAAACTGAAGATATGCATTCAAAAACTGATCAGCATTCTATAAGGTTATGAGTCTAGACTAGCATTTGTCTCAAAACACAGATACAGCATCGATTTGAAACCAACTGCATCAATTAATAGTCTGCCACTTTACACATATTTAGAAAGGGCTTTAACTGTTTAACTACTTCACTACCTTAACTATTTGAAAGTCCTTGAAGTTATCATATGCTATCTTCCTGTCAGCCGAGATTGCCTTGTACATCTTTTCCAAATCATATTTCATCCAGTTCTGACATAATCCTCTTTAATTCAGTAATGATTCTGTAGTTAAATACTTAAAATTGTATCCATGGAATGTACAGATATGAAAAATTGTTTATCATGAAAAGTTCTGGCAAATCCAAAAATAGTAGCTGTATTTGTGGTAGGTGGCTAAACATATCTCCAGGACAACAAAATCCTATTCATCTACTGCAAGTGGCTACAAGACAGCTTCCTCTGCCCTGCTGAAGTCTGTCAAATCTTGACATCTGCTCCTCTCAGATAAATATAAGATGCTGTCTGTTTATGCTTCTCGTTTATATATATTTATTGGGATATAATAAATATTTCATACTTCTTACATATATAAAGGATTTTTCACTTCTTTTTATCATTACCATGAATAAATCTAGGGTAAAAAAATCACATTTCCATGGAAACGGAATCAAATCCAAAAACATTTTAAGGAAAATATCCTGTCAGTTCTACCTTGAAACATTTTTTCAGTCTTGAACTGAAATACAGGGTTGTGAATAGTTATCTAAATTAAACAAAAATGGATATGATAGAGTGTAAAAGACCTTTCTTGATATTGCTTTTTCAGTAACTTAGAAATATGATCCCAAATTTCAGAATCTTATAGTACATTCAAGGCAGGCTCTGAATGTATTCACTCAGAAGAAAATGACACAGGTGAGGTGAAGAGTTGAAGACATAGATGAGGACTGAAAATTACAGTCCATAAGAGAAGAAATACCAGTTCTAGATTTTGGCAAAGCAAGGTTAGAAATGAACCACAGCGCAGAGAGTAATTCAGATTTCATCACTCTTTTTTTTTTTTTTTTTTTTTAAAATTCTGGTTTATCTTTAAAGAATCTTAGAAAATTCACATTCCATGACTTCTGTCTCTGTAAGGAATTGGGAAGACTTGGAAAAGAACATGAGTCAATTTTCTGAAGCAGACTGAACTTGGAGACAATTTTTCTTCTTTCAGTTAGAAGGTTAAAATACGACCCTTTAAAGAATTGTTGTGTCCTAATGGAAATTCAAGGCTGTGTCTCTTTAACCTGCAGCACACCACATGCCTTTTGTACATGCACTAAGTTCTATTTTACAGAATTTCTCTATGAAGTGTTAATTGTATTTTTAACTGGAATAGATTATTTTGTTTTCTATAGATTAATAACTTTCAAAATATTTTCTCCTGTTCCAATGACTATGTAACTATCAAGCAGATTGCATGCATCTTAGACTAAATTAATTATTTCAAATTTTGCCTTCTGTGAAGACTAATGAGTACCTTCTATGCTCTGCAGAAAGGACATTCCTGTTGAGTGGTTAAATAACTGTTGGTTTTAAGGGAAAAGGTATTTTGAGCAGAGAAGAATAGAAGTTTTATGAAAAAAAAAAAAAAGTCTGCTCAGTGGTTGTACATGGATTTCCTCCTCCTTGTACCAGGATGTGGTAAACTCCAGAAAAATTAGGGATTGTCAAAGAATTTTGATGCTAAAAGATTTCTATATATTAATAAGTATTTTGTTGATTTTTTTTTCTCATTTGTAACAGAATATTCTATAGCTTATACAGGGATTTGAAATGAAGTTTTATATCACACTGATGTATAATTCAGCTTTGCCTTCAGTTTTTTGCTATTCTCCCATTTTTTAACTTGTTTTTATATTCTACTGGAAAAACACACACACACACACACAAAAAACCCACAAAAAAACCCAGCAAAATAAATAAATAAAATAAAATAAAATAAACCAAAACAAGATCTATTCTTAGTCTTATTTAGTCTTATTTCAAAAAGAGAAGAAAAAAAATGATATCTGAATTTGTTTTAGAATACTATTGTTCATTGAATTGGAAAATCTTGATTTGTAGTCTATGCAGACTTTGAAAAAAAATTCTTATCTATACAATAAAGTATGTAGAATATCAGCAACAAGTATTTTGCAAATGTAAATATCACTATCGAATAGGTAGAGCAGCATAATTTCTACTGGTAATTTCTTTCCCATCAGTTTCATATTTTTGAAGTATATTTCCTGTTGACAATGTTTCTTGGAAATAATTTTCCCATTCAAAAAGTTGAAAATACAAAGGCTCTTTTAGTTTACTTTGATGATTGCAAAAGTGAGAGAGAGGAGGAGATTACTTTTCCCCTTGCCCAGCTGAATTATAATAAAATATATGTATCTAAAATTATTTATCTAGTGGTAATTGTTGACATTTCATTTTTAAATATTAAGCCCATTGTGGTGGATGAAAACAAAGAAACATATAATTGTCAAGAGTTTTATAGGCACTAAAAGTAAAATCTATGCAATATTAATGAAAATGTTTATCCTAATCTTAGAAATAATTATTCTCCACAGTCACTGTTTGCAAGATTGTTTTAAGCAGCAGGTTTTCTTGCTCATTCCTGTATTTCCTGGTCTATATTACAGTATCTTTTTCAGATTACGAAAGCAGCAGCAAATCCACCCAGAAGTCAGGAAGCACAACAAAATCATTACTCCTTGCTGATACACAGCTAAACACAGAGGGATGCCTTTTATGAAAGGTTTGCATCTTTTTACATTAGAAACCTAAACATCATCAGGAATTCTCTGTGTAAGTCAAATGCCAGAATCTTCACTTACTATGAACATAGACAAATTTAATTCTTGTTGAGACACTAGATAAGGTGAGACATTCTAAGAAAACATTCTTGAGTGTGAACTTGCAAAGGTTTCTTTTCCATCTGTGAAATGGCTGGCTGTGCTTTGGTCTGTGTGATTTTCTGCAGATATGTGGTCACAAATGAATGCAGTTTGAAATGACCAGATGTAAGGCAGCTTTGATGCAAAGTTACGGCATCTGCTAAATTGCAGCTAAGAGGAATTGTGCTAAGAAGCAGGATTTGTCACTTCAGGCTCTACTACCCTCACCAGTACAACTCTTGCCAGCCCCAGAGGGAGCACCAACACAACCAGCTTGGGCTATCTCAGCAGAGTGCAGAACAAACCTTCACCTGCCTAAGCAACCTGGAATATCATTGTTAACTTGTCTCTGCTATTATCTTGTTTATTTTATTTTATTATTATTCGTTTATGGAAATCATGAAGTTGATATAGTCTCCTAAGAAAAAAATAATATGCCACATGTTTTTCAGAAAGAATATCAGCACTCTAGTTTACCTTTGTGGATGAGAACAACATAACACAAGGTGCATCAGCTTTTGGCCCAAATCATTTGAGCAGAGAACTTCAGATGAAGCCTCCATTATTATTAGAGTGAAGTATAATCTTTATAAATTGCTAAAATACTAATGTTGGGTAAACAAAGCTGACACTGTCAGTGTGATAACTATTTTATAAAATAAATAACACAAGTTTTGTCATGCTTGACAAATTTAATTGCAGGATGTTTTTTAAATGCAAAAGTCCTAGACTGTTAGTGGTAATCAAACTAATGTTTTCTCCTTTCTGTTTAGCAAGGTATTAGTGAAAACTGAAAGGTAACGTAGTAAACATACAACTGGTGTACTTCTCAGGATCAGGATAAGTATCCTACTTTCCTGAAGGATGAGAGGATGAGGAAATTTTGCTTTCATCATGTTCTCAGCAACTGGAAAGAAAGCAGAGATTAGCCCCTGTATTGCCAACCAGTATATATGAAATTCCTCCTGTGATAGCATATACTTTCCATATCTTACTATAAAATATAGGAAAAGAGAGAATTAGTGCTCTCTCTCATGTGACCACCAAAAGACTTCAAAAGGAATGTGCTGAAAATCTTGGTTTTTAATGAGTTTAATGTCATTCAAAATTACAAGTACCTAAAGGAATCATCCCAAAGTTTAAAGTAAGTATGGCTTTATGTATGGCTTTGTAAAGTATGGCTTTACAAAGCAAGCCTGACTACTTTGCTTTGTAACTTGGAAGAAAAGTCAGGAATATTTTAGTTGCCCTCTTCCTGTACTTTTCTGGATCCAAGTTGCTTTTTTTCCTACTGTTTTAATTCAGCTCTACAATGTCTGGAGTTGATCACAATTTACAGGCACTAAACACTATTGTCGCTGTGCAATTATTCAGTTCCTAGCATCTGAAATGAAAGTGGACCTGGAGGTTACTGTTCTTTCATACAAAGTATGTCCATTGGCTTTGTTTCTTTCTCTCACTCTAGGATCATAGAATCATAAAATATCCTGAATCAGAATGGATCATTCCTGATCTTAATTTCAGCAAACACACCAACTCAGTTTAAAACACTGCCGTGAATGCTGCTGAGTAATGTAAACACTTTATTTCTCTAAGGGAAGAGCTGTGATTTTGAATTTGACTTTTAGATTTTACATCTGACTGTAAATATAAGTATTTTTCATAAAAAAAACTATGAATCCTTTTTCCTGACCTATTTGAAAGTTATGAAGCCTCTGGTCTTCCAGTCGCTACTGATCCAGGGTCAAGGGAAGTTGCTCTATTCAATGTGGCTCACAATTCATCTCTTCTGCTAAGCAACAGGAAAGTCTCAGTTCTGTTGCCAGGGGGTACCACGCTTGCTGAAATGTTTCCATGGAGACAGGACCCATCCGAGCACAGCAGCTGAGGACAGGCAGCTGAGATGAGTCCTACAGCCCTTCCATGGGTGACGTGTTCTTGTGTACTCATGTGCTGATGGAATGCACCAATAAGGCATCTCCCTCCTGTGGGAATCTCATTTGATTAGAAGTTAAACATTCAGTTCCCAAAGAAAATTTAAAGCTCTGCCAATAACAGAAGGGAAAACAAACAAACAAACAAACATTTCACACAAATTTTCTTCTGGTGATGCTTGAAGAAACATGAAAACCCTGTAGTACCATTTTTTGAGTTCAGGCTTGTTTTTCAGATTTATTTATTTACAGATCTAAAATGAAATTAATACTCCCTTCTTTAGCATGAGCTGACTTTAACTCATTCAGAATAAAAATGATAATTCCTGGAATATCAGAATGTGAGTGGTTTACATAAGCACTTCTACTGGTGAATCAGTTTCTTGGTCACAGAATGGAACCTGTAATCTATTATGAATTTTTGTATGTTTTGATTTTTTATTTCTTTTCAGCATTTACAAATTTGTATCATCAAAGTTAATGAGCTGAGAGGAGGAAAACCAAATGTAAATGCAATTTATTTCAAGATACAGATGCTCAGTTTTCTGTTTGACACCGAAACCATGCTTCAAAACTTGTTTAAACCAGGTACATCTAATATAAAAAGCTTTGGTATTAAACTCAAGGAGGTGCTTTATGTATCACAGAGATTTAAAATGTTGTTTGTTTGTTTTTTTACATACATGGGAGTGAAATCTTGACCTTATCAAAATAAGTGTTAAAACTGTATCCTCACATCTTTTAAATTTATTTATTTATTTATAACAAAGCCAGGAAATAATTAATGCTGCTACAGAAAATACAGACAGAGCTTCATTTGAAAGAGTTCAAACTTTTCTGGCCACCAACACCAACTATAACTGGAGAAGATGCCAACAGAGTGCTAAGGTGCTTTTGGAAATGTACAATGAGAAACTGAGTTAATTTGATTTGTTTAATTCAGTAAAGTAATGGCTGAGGTGATATACTTATTCTGTATAAAAAAGATCACTAATTACTTTAAATAAGTTCAGAACTACAGGTATTTATAGGATTTAATTTAGATTGATTCCTAGTAATATTATATACTCTCAAGTGTCTGGACACTTACCCTGCTCAACACATGTTAAAACTTTAAAACAGACATTTGATTTTGAGTCTGGGGGATTTTTCACTTCTAAAAAGCAGGAAATTTTGCAAAGGAATTTTACTGACAAAGATTCAAGAGTCTTGCATGCAGATACACTTCCTCCTGTATTCTTCCTATGTCACACTGCAGTCTTCTGGTAGATGTGTGGATGGATGTGTTTGCTGGCCCAGCATGTTTGCAGATGTAATGTCCTGTCCCCCTTATTTGTCAGCACACAGAGGAAAGATTTATGCAGTGACTCTAATGGCCTCTTACAGCATCCCTAAGCCCTGCTGGAGAGAGGAACAATATGGACAAGAAAACAGAAGCTGCATGCATAGGAGCCTGTTGGGTCCCATTTAGCTGAAAACATCATCTCCCTTCAGAGCTCTCATGCTGTTGGTCACAGATGCTGTTTTTGCTGGAATGGCTCCAAGGGAAACGGGAGAACTGGTGCAAAACCAAGGAAATCCCAAAGCACTGGCTTTTTACAAATGATGCTTCATCTTTCGTAGTCAGATAGCACACCACACCTGAATTCAGGATGATTCTGCAATGAAGAAACCAAAAGTCTGGCAGAAATTACAGACTCGATGCCTGTCTTTACATTTTCCAAACCTTTTTCTTGTACAGCATCATAGTTTAACTCACTGTTCAAATCATAAAGATTTCTCATTTGTCTTACTCTAATCTCTTGTAGTGTTTGCAGTAAACTGTACTGCAGCTACGTGGGATTTGGTTGCCATGATGCTGTTAACTCCTTGCTACACATTGCCATCTTGCATCAGTTTGAAAGGTTATTCTGCATCAAACAAGCTTGTTTTAGATGAGACAGTTTCATTCTGCAGCAGTAAAAGGCTCTTAGGATCTGAGCTGGCTGACTGTACTTCCCTGACACGGAAGCTAATTCCATGCTGCAGTCACAGAGGAATCCACGGCTTGATGTACCCTGATTCAACAATGAGTGTCACAATCTGGTCCTTATCCTTGCAAAAGGGAAGAACTGGGATTGCAGGTAAGGATGGACAGACCAATCACACAGAAATTCTCTTGCCCAAGAGAACAGAGGATGATGTTCAGAACTCTGATTCTCTTTGTTTGAAGATGGAAATGGGTAGGAGACTATCACAGCAAAGGTTATTTTCAGTCACCTAAAAGAGAACAAGCCTTCCTATTTTCAGAGCTTCTCTGTTGGAACAGTTGGAACAAAAACAAGAATAAAGCATGAAAAGCAACCCAAAAATAATTTATCACAAAGCAAAAAGTTGTCTCTTGCTTCCCTTTATAATGTAATTGGGTGCTGAGAGTGCTTAACCCTTAAGTCTGTTTAATGTGGAGGAGCACGCCTTCACTGCCTGAACACAAGTATGGCTTCTGCTCAGTTTTGCAGTGGGTTTTAACAACCGTCTTGAGCTGAAAATCACACAAGGACTTTCACAATCAAACTTATTATGCATTCAGTATCCCATTACTCCATCTGCTGCTTCCTTGTTCCATATCCCATTAACAAATGCTAAGCTGCAGATTGTTTTTCACATAGTAATGAGCTGCATAAGTATGCAAACAAAACAAAAGTTATATATTTCTGTTAGAACAAGTGCCAAGAACAGCTCCTGTTGCAACAATACTAATGACAGGATAGCGACAGTGGAATAAAGAGAGTAATTTGTAGTATTCCCAGGTCAGCTGCACACATGGTTACTCCAGAAATAAGTGAGGCAATTTATTCTAAACTTACAGTTTATTCTAAACTTACAAATTCATTCCTGCTTTAACTGAAATAGCTTCAGTGACTATGAATGTAGATTGCTCCAAAAGTAATGCCTCCTATTTATTTCCGTGAAAACTAGATCAGCTGCAAAGAACACACTTGCACTATTTCAGAGAGCAAATTCTCAGTAACAAAACGGATTTAACTGCACTCCTGTGTAAGATGTTATTTTGTCAGACTGCCCCTCTGCTGCCATATGTTGCACAGTGAATAAATGTAATGGAATGTGGGTGGGAAGGTTCAACATTTACTGCCATATCACCAACATTTGCCTGTGACATTTTGGGCCAACAAAATAAAAGAGGAGGCATTAATTTCAGAACAATACTTGTGTCATGGAAGAATTGGGTCTTGTATTGGAAATCTTCCTACACATGGTGATTTAAAAAAAAAAAAAAAAAAAAAAAGGTGACAAGCACAAATAATGTCATTTTCTCAATTAACTGGAATTGATTAATTCATCCATCCATTTCCCAAGTCATCATCTTCAATTAAAATAATTGCCTGGATAACATTCCATTGCTAGAACCCTGGGTGAAACGGAAATTTTCCAAATAGTGTTTCGCTCGGATGCCAGCCCAGCTACCTCTACCTGCCAGTAGAGAAACAAATTACAATCTGCTACAGTTTAACATGAGGACTGAGGAAGCTTTGGAATGTCTTTAAAATACACACTTTCACTTACTAGAATTATTAATTGTGAAATAGGACTGTTTTGTTGCAGAAGACAAAGTGCCTGCTGCAAAGAGCGGCTTCGAGAGGCTTTGAGACAGCAAGTAAACAGTGAGTGGGATGTAGAGCAGTTATTTAAAGAAAGACAAGCTTGAATGAGCTGTATAAGAGGAGGATGCCCATAGCTACAGCATAGGTCTGTCTGGGACAAGTTTGCATCTGCTAAGTTTCCTAAAGAAAGCAGTCCTAATGAAATGTGACAGTATGCATAGATGTATGCAAAGATGAAAAATACTGTTTCTAAGAGATCGTGTGTGGAAAATATGCACAATCTAAGCATAGTTTACACCTAAAAACATTAAATTCAGAGTTGAATAGGATGCCCAAATTACAGGCAGCATAATCAGTCAGAACACTAACGGGTACACTTTTAAGAAAATGAGGTAGGAGAAAGTTAGGGATAAGAAACTAGATTTTGTTGAATCTGAGCTCGTAGCTACACAATGATAAGAAAATATCAGAGACATTGCAGTTTTAATTTGAGCAGAAAGACAGTTATATATTGAGAGGAAACTGTGAGTTCATGGAAGTAACAGTGAATGATTTTTTTATTTACAAATGAGATTTTAACAGGTTAAGGAGGAAAAAAAGCATTCCACAAAGCACTGGTAAAGAAGCAGGGAACCCAGTACTGGTAGAGGGATTAGAAGAGTTGTCAATGGGATCTGCATATTATATACATATATATATATATACATTGGAAATATATACATGATAAGGAAGAGAGAGATTGATGGGAACCAGGGACAGGAAAACTGACCGCATAGAAAATATGTAGCACATCACAAATGATAGAGCTAATTTTCAGTTTTAAGCTCAGGCAATGTGGAATGTGTTTGGTTGTTTAAATGTAGGCATCTCATGAGAATGTTGCAAGACTCCCATGTGATTTCCACCCACCCTTCTGCACTGGACCAGTGTGCCTGAGAGGCAGCAGATGTCCATGTTTATGTAACTGAATACTGTCCTACAAGTGGGATTCAGGTCATGCCTACAACTTCTAAAGGTGTCTGTATGTAAGAATTTACATAGATGTTGAGTTACTTTCCTATTGCAGTCAGTACAGCTTCTGGGGCTTGTAGAGAAATTCACATTCCCTACTAAAGTGTAGAGCTACTCAAGTTAGTCATGACTACTATGATCATTACTATGGCTTTCCCCTAGGAATATACACTTTCCACTGCTCGAACTCCTTGCTGGTTGTTCCCATTTCTGATATTAATGCTGACTGGAATATACATAGGCACAGGCA